TTATTCTACATTTATACATTTTAGGCAACTAAGGCAAAAATGTAATTAATTCAGAAAATCTTTTCAGGACCCCACCTTGATGTTTCAGGACCCCACTTTGGGTCCCGACCCCAACTTTGGGAACCACTGCTACAGTATGTAGCTGCCTTCACTTTGCCAAATAAAAAAGATTACGGGAATAGTTGGAGGAAACTTGGGAGAAAAGTCTAGTTAGAGTTTACACAAAGACATTGCCGATAGAGAAAATATGCACAAACACAACTTTCTAACAAAGAAAGTGTTGCAGCAGTAACTGAGCAAATCACTCAGAGGATCACATACCTTCTCAAACTACCACAGTCTCACTGTTTGACTAACGATTTATCCCTGTCAAAATAAAAACACACTTTAAAACGCGTCCTCTGTTCCCTGGGCAGCTTCATTACCCTCCCTGTGCACGGCGGTGCATGCAGAGTGTGTCCTGAGCTGTTTGAGATTAGATGTTGGAGTAATTCTTCTGGCAGGTAATTTAGACTCCGAATACATCAGCGGTCACACTGAGCCACAACAGGCTCCTGCAGCTCATTCTGCTCAGAGATGAGCTGAATTTATACACAGATGCCATTTGAGGCATAAATATGCACATCACTTAACATTCATGGCCCATTACTGTTTGTATCATGGCTACAAATATAACTGCTGAAGAGCATTACAGCAGTTAGTTAGTTGTAATAAACCATGAACACAAAACAACAAGCTGCTCCTGTGAGTACTAAAACAGTGAGGGAAGTTTTTCAGGATTAAATGGTGCTCATCATCAAAAAAAACATCATAATGTATATACAGTTCTTTGATTAGTTTAATGCTTTTGTCCAAGCAGCTTGAAGACTCAATATTTGAAGTTGATCACGATAAGTCTTTTGCATTTTAGCTGTTCAAGAAGTTTTTGCATTACAGTGATTGAGGATAATCCTGTGGGGGTTGAGTAGGGTTAGGTTAGTGTTAGGGTATCGCCCAAATCATTTGAAGAATCTATATTTTTAAGCAATATAAAAACAGGAAGCATAACTAATGTTTATAGGCAAAACGATGCATTTATGCCTTCAAAAATGATGACCCCACCCCTTCCCTTGTCAGCCTAACGGTGGTTTAGACCATCATTAACCAGCTTAAGGCAACACATTGATGAGCAGGAGGCTGCCTGACAGAAGTGTCAAAAGTATTCATTACTTGAGTAGAAGTATTGCCTTAAGCTTTTTACTCAAGTAAAAGTGTAAAAGTTTTAAAACTACTTAAAGTATAAAAGTAATGTGTGGTGGCATAAGCCATAAGGGATAAAAGCTTTGGCACACTGACCTATTGTGCACAACCCAGCCTCTTGAAAAAACAAAAACATTTTTATAAAGGCAATAATGACTTTAAAATATAGTAAAATGTTAATGTTGAAAATTTTAAGATGCACCAGGCTTCCTGTTTCAGCCTCATACATTACTCTGCCATGGTCATCTTCATAGACTACATACGTCTGAGATGTCCTGCTGGAGTGTGGCGAGATTTCTGTCGTACAGGTGTGATGGATCAAAGAAACCAATAGAAAATCAGAATGGTTTATATTTCTCATCCAACCACAATTAAATTCACTCTATGTTTCAGAACAGGGACAAGCTGGAATGAAAACAAGCCAAAGTGAAATCGAAATGAAATGCTTTTTGTATTTTGAAAATGGAGAAGTGAAACATTGGCTTAAAATCAATTACTCTAATAAAGTATAACAAATTGTTTTACTTAAGTAAACTAACAAAGTTTTTGTACTTCATTACTTGGCACCTCTGCTGAGGACTGAGGCACTGGAGCAAGCAAGAACCAGTAAGTTTCAGTGAGCACTCACTTGGGACTGCTCTTCGTTAGCATAGTGGTGATTAACTCTGTTTATCACGCAGTAGAACAGTTCGACCCTCTGTACGGTGCATTTCATTGTTACTAATTAGTTTAATCTAACTGCCCTCCTCCTAACAAATTGTTCTTATTAAATCTCTCTGTTTCTAGTCCCAAACAGTAATGAAGCTCCGCCCCTGACCAAGCAGCCTAAAGACAAAATCAGGAAGCTTAATTCACAAAAACAGATTGACTGTCAGCTCAATCAATTCAATTTAGGTCTGTTTTGCTGATGCTAAACATGTAAACTTTTTTAGCAAAAAAAACTGTCATTTATTTTGTCACTTCTTTATCCTTTATCCATCTTTACGTGTTTCCTCTGAATTACTGACTAAGCAGAATCTGCACTTTCACTTTTCACAGTTACAAAGTTTGAAACTGCTCCTCTTGTCCAGACATGTGGTGAACTGAGGTTTGTAGGGTGATGGTCCAGCTGTTGCTCTCTCTGTCCAATTTCTGTCTTTTTCCACCCAGCTGTGAGATTCCAAGCTGGACGGTCAGAGCAGTGTTTTTGTGCGTAGCTCGCCTTACTGTCAGCAGCTACTCACTGCACTGTTTATTTATAGGGCAGCTGTGAAACTTAATGTGCTTTGAATAGATTTAATTAGATATGTTTTTTTTAAATTACTAGAGATTGTTGCTGATTAATGTGACAGTGCAGACATGCCTTGTGTCAATTTTAAACTAAAATCTGATAAGTACTGAAAAAAACCTGACAGGTAAATGCTAATAAATGTTCCTGTAGAAAAAAAAAAGTCTACAGTAAAAAAGAGGAACAAGAACGATTAATATCTTGTCTGTTGTTGCTCTTTAAATGACCTCAATTTAGAGAAACAGACATTAAGTCTCAATTTTTTTTTCTTAGAAACGTATGCATTTGTTTCTTTATATAAACCTTTACATTGACATCAACTTCACATCATAATTGTAATTTTGTGGTTTTTTATAAGCATAAAAAACAACAACAGCATCTATCTGTAGCACATCTAAAGAAGCCTAGTGAACTTCCTCTAGGAAGAACTTTAATCACTACACAATGCAAGATTTGACAGCTTTGTAAGACTCGATAAAAGTTTTCAAATAAACTGCTGTGAAATTTAGAAATGTATTTTGTGTTTTAAGGCGGTATCAATCATTGTTCATTGACCTGCTCAGACTAGCCCTTAGCTTGTCAATCAGATCAGAATTTTTTTTTACCAAACTGAAGTTATTCAAAGACTTATCTACAACAGGTAAGATATTGCCTGTTTATACAGAACCCCATTTCAAAATAAGCCTTTAAACAGTAGTGAAATGTAAAACAAACACCTTTCCAGTGGCTAAGATTCTCCCCTCAGATGTGACATTTTGTTTCTGCTAATCTAATAGCTTCTACACCTTTGTTTTTATGTAATAATTAGTCCTAAAAGAAAAAAGCCAAAAACCATAAAATTGCTTCTTTATGTTTAGTGTAGTCAGTGGAAACACTGAGCTGATATATTCCCTCTGCATTCCTGAAGATCTTATCTGGATGACGAAGCACCTGATGCAAGTGCAGCTGACCTGGAAAAACCCAGATGGATCGTCTGCTGCGAGCCTCTGTGGGAAAGCAGCAGAGATCTGTGAGGATTCATTCATATGCAGATACCAAAACAGACGGACACCATGAAACTCTGCACGTCTTATCCTGAATGTGGCTCCGCGGCGGCGTTCTCCCAGAACAATCAGGTGCCGGGTCAGACCAAGTCAAGGATGTTAGGGACATTTACACAAAGGCAGCATGTCTGCTGAATCCGAGGGGCTTGAACTACACTGAAGGCTGGTCTTTGTCTCCCTACTTTTAATTGTGCAAACACTGATTCAAAAATTATACAACTGTTCTCCTGTTTTTCACTTTTTTGCTTGTTTTGCAATTAAACTCTTACATCATATTTTGTGCTATATAAGACCCTGTTATTTCCTTCAAAAACATTGGGCCTCATGCAAGAACATGTTCGTATTCTTATCCTAAATTTCTCTTACTTTTGTTCGTACGAAGGGTTCGTACGAACATGTCACGTCAGATTCAACAAACTCTTCTATCTTCATGAAAAGTGTGTAAATGAGCTGCGTAAACTGATGAATGCATATCCAGCTGCTCGTGCACGGGGAGAGGTGATTTACGTAATTAACACCCCAAAAACACCATATAAGGATATACAGTACGTTTCCTGCCACACATACCAGGAAGTGTCCATTCATAAGTGACATTGCAAAGTAAAAAAAAAAGAACTTAAAGAGTTCGGAGATTGAAGTTCTTCTCTCGGAGATCCACAAAAAAAAGGTAATATTTAGCAGCGTCAGCTGTAGAATTAAAGGATCTGCTTTAAAGCCGAGGAATGAAATGACCGCTGTCGTGTCTCCTGTGGGTCGTACAGTCACAGAAATAAAAATCTAAATCATATTTATCTCTCTCTGTAGTCCTGCTCCGGTTTGTCTTTGGTCAAATATTTTTAATTTCAGTGTAAACAGCTATGCTATATAGGTTTCACTTATTCAGAAGAGCAGTTCATTTTTTACCTTATTGCTAGCATGTTGATATCTTTAGCATGTCTTTTGGCCTTTTTAAAGCTTTTAGCTAGTTACTTCAGCTATTTGCTAGCCTTTTGATATTTTTTTCAGCTAACCTTTTGCTGATTTTTAACTAACTTATTGGTTTTATTAGCTTTTAGCTACTGTTTTGCTACTTGTAGCAAAACCATTTATTCCTAATAACATTTTGCTAGCCTTTTTATGCATTTTGCTTTTAGTTAGAAATTTCCTGCTATTAGCTTTTAGCTTGTGTTTTGCTTCTTTTAGCTTTTAGTTGGTGTTCTATTTTAGCTTTTTGCTAGTGTTCTTTTTTCTTTTGTCTTTAAAGACTCAGATTCAGCTTCTACTCTGAACTTCAGCATAGAGCACTCAGCATTCATAGTGTATATTTTTCAGGAAATGTTGTTTCTCCAGCTGTGATTCTAACCTTAGCGGACGTCTCAAACCATCCTACAAAGCCGTTGTCCTGACAGAACTGCTCCATCTTTATTCCGTTATTGGTCAGCACATCTCGACCTTGGTCACATTTGTTTGCCAGCAGCACAGTGGCCACGTTTTTCCCGTTGGCAAGTGTCAGTTTGGAATCCAGGTCCTCCTTCCACTTTGTGATGGCCTCAAAGGAGGCGGGCCGCGTCACATCGAACACGATGAAGGCTCCCATGGCTTCACGGTAATACACACGGGTCATGTTGCCGAACCTCTCCTGACCTAAAACACATGGAAAAATATAAAACAAGGACTTTCAAAATGTGTTTTTCAGTTTTAATGTGTGTGTGTTTGTGATAAAAAGTGTGTAACCAGCGAGCCATGTGATTTACTCATTTTATCACCTTTACAAGCTTGCAACGTCTACATTTCCCTCCTCCTGATACACACACACACACACACACACACACACACACACACACACACACACACACA